CTCTCTCTCTCTCTCTCCCTGTCTCACTCTCTCTCTCCCTGTCGCTCCCTGTCTCTCTCTCTCTCTCTGTCTGTCTGTCTGTCTCTCTCCCTGTCTCTCTCTCTTGTTTTCACAGATAAATCTCCTCTCCTGCTCGTTAGCAGTGACATTAGCCTCCAGCTGCTAACAGCAGCTGCACACACTGTGTTTGTTTGGGGAACCGTTGTAACCAGAAGGTTTTCTGTTCCAAACGTTAGCGACTGACAGTCCAAACTAAACGTCAGATGTTTTCTCTGATTCTGTTAGTGAGACTCAGACGGTGGACAGACCACAGGAGACATCAGCTCACCTTGCAGCCCTCGCAGGTGATCACCCCGTAGTGGATCCCTGATGATTTATCTCCACAGATCTTACAGGGAATGATTTCAATCTGAGCTGCAGACACACACACAGAGAATAAAGTGTAAAGATCACACACTCAACAACATCTACAGAAAGATGATTTAACCAGTTTATTTAAAGACACTTCATTAATACAACGCTGAAAGAAAAAGAAACTATAATTTCTCACACTGTTCACATCCCAAATGATTAAAGCAAAAGTTAGAGGTTGCAGGAATACTGTTATCTATCACGGTTCAATGTACACACACCTGAAGGAGAGCGGCAACATGACAATAATGTTCACTTCGGCCCAAACACAGACTGCTGCAGCAAGCTGTCACATTAATTTCAATCTGTAAAGATCTGTACAAATTCAAACCTCAATCTATAAGCACATTTAGTTTCAAACTAACTAATGATTACTGAGCCTCTGGTGTCGTCTTTACACCATAACTTAGATAACATAGTTAGTGGGCTACAACCCAGTACAGCCTTTGAAATGTATTCAGAGTATAAAAGTTCCGTCTTGTTAATGTCCATAACGTAAAACTTATTAACAGCAAGAGAACCTTTTCACACAGGTCATAATATGGACGTATAGTATCACAGCTGAATGTAAATGCTAATAAACCTAAAAATAAAGTCACTAAAATCAGAATTTCAGAAATAACTGAATGTTCTTGATAAATGATTATTACATATTATTTTACAGGAAAAACACAAATGTATTCTAAAATAACTGCCCCAAATATGGGCGGGGGTAACTGGAGGTAGTTTAAGGCTGAAACTGATATGAGTTGATCATAAGTTGTTATATTTTATTATTTATAGGAAAACTTTTTTACAGATCTGCCTCAGAATTAAGCTTCAGAATGTTTTGATTGGTATATTTACGAGTACGGATACATTTTACTCATTTAACATTCATAAAAACCACATTATCTGTACCGGTTACAGCTGAGTTCTCGCCCAACCCCAGTTGAAAACATTAAATTATTATTTTTTTAAAGACGTCAATTAAGTCTTTGTATCTGTTCAAGTACTGATGGTATGTATTTTCATTATTTATGTTTAATATATGTTTTGGATTTTATGTTTAACTATTACTTTTAATTTTGGATTATATCTACTAAACCTTGTTTTGAAAAGGTGAGAAGTAGAAAGTGTGAAAATGTAGGAGGCAAAAGTAAAAAGTTGTAAAAGTTTAAAATAAATACACAAGTAAAATCTGGAAATAATACTTTAACAAAGTATTTGTACTTCATTACTTCCTACCGCCGTTTCCAGTTCAGGACTGAATGATCTCATCTTTCACAATTTGGCGACAGTTTATCAGACCTACTGTGTATTTATACACTCAGCAGTTTGTAACAGTGTGACAGCTCGGCTCTGAGACGCTATATTTAGCAGAGGGAAGTTATGTAAGTGAGCAGCCACATGAACACACACACACACACACACACACATTAAAAACAAGAGTCTTGAGACGCAGAGTGAAGAAAGGATCGTCTGCCAGCTGTTTGTCTGCAGCACAAACTGGGTTAGAAATCTGCTCCTGGATCTGACTTAGTTTGTTCATTTATTAACATGAAAACACGTTTTAAAATTTAAAAAAGACAACAAGACAAAACACTCACTTATGTTGGATTTAAACCACCTCAAGTATGACAAGCTTCTGCTCTGTACTTTTATTTAGGAATAAAAAAATTTACAAACTTTGATTTTTATCTTGAAAATAAGGAAAATAATAATAAACAATATGTGATTATTTAAGTCAATTTAATTATGCCAATAGATCAATTAAAACCCAGATTCCCGCTGTATGTCAACCAAGTGATTCCCACTTTCTAACTTTATGTGAACCTCCCTCTCTCTCTTCCTGTCTGCCTCAGTGTCTCTCGCCCTCCCCCAGAGGATGATTAACCAGCTGACCAAGTGAATGAAGATCTACATCAGTTGTTTCCACCCTTTTTTCTTAAGGGACCCCTTCTCTATATTTAAACACACAGCCCCTGACTAACTGACATATGTTATGGATATTTCATATTGTACCCAATTCAAAATACAACAACGCGAAATAAAAACCCCAGAATAAAACCGGAGACCAGTGTAGAGTTTTAGTCCACTGTTGGTAACATACACCTGTGTGTGTGTGTATGTGTGTGTGTGTGTGTGTGTGTGTCAGGACGTCT